CAAAGCTGTCTTGAGCTTCTTAAAGCTCTCCTCACACTCTTCCGTCCACTGGAACGGAGCACCCTTATGGGTCAGCCTGGTCATAGGTGCTACAATAGATGAAAACCCCTGAACAAATCGACATTAATAACCCACCAAGCCAAGAAAACTACGGATCTCTGTAGCTGAGGATGGTCTGGGCCAACTCTACACTGCCTCTACCTTCTTCGGATCCACCTAAATACCCTCAGTCGAGACCACGTGACCCAAGAATGCCACGGAATCCAACCAAAACGCACATTTCGAGAACTTAGCATATAGTTTCTTTTCTCTCAAAGTCTGGAGCACTGTCCTCAGGTGCTGCTCATGATCTTCCCGACTCCGGGAATATACCAGAATGTCATCAGTAAAGACAATCACGAATGAGTCAAGGTATGGCCGGAATACACTGTGCATCAGATGCATGAAGGCTGCTAGGGCATTAGTCAGCCCAAATAACATAACAAGGAACTCGTAGTGACCATACCGAGTCCTGAAGGCAGTCTTCGGGATATCTGGCTCCCGAATCTTCAACTGATGATAGCCTGAACACAAGTCATTCTTAGAAAACACACAAGCACCCTGTAACTGGTCAAACAGGTCATTAATACGAGGCAAAGGATAGTGGTTCTTCACTGTCACCTTGTTCAACTGGCGATAATCAATACACATACGCATGGAACCATCATTCTTCTTCACAAATAAGACAGGAGCACCCCAAGGTGATACACTGGGCCGAATGAAACCCTTATCAAGCAATTCCTGTAACTGCTCCTTCAACTCCTTTAACTCAGGAGGAGCCATACGGTACGGAGGAGTAGAAATGGGCTGAGTGCCCGGCAACAGATCAATGCCAAAATCAATATCTCTATCGGGCGGCATGCTCGGAAGGTCAGCTGGAAGCACATCAGAGAAATCCCGTACTACTGGGACTGAATCAACTGTAGGGGTATCAATACTGACATCTCTCACATAGGCTAGATACGCGTCGCACCCCTTCTCAACCATACGCTGAGCCTTAAGGAATGAAATAACTTTACTGGAAGCATGATTTAAGGTACCCTCCACTCAACACGCGGTAAACCTGGCATAGCCAGCGTCACGGTTTTGGCGTGACAATCAAGAATAGCATAATGGGGCGACAAACAGTCCATGCCCAGAATAACATCGAAGTCTACCATGCTGAGCAATAATAAATCTGCTCTGGTCTTAAAACCACTTAGAGCAATCAAACACGACCGATAAACGCAGTCCACAACAAGAGAATCTCCTACAGGAGTAGAAACATAAGCAGGGGAACTCAAAGAATCCCGAGACACACCCAAATGCGGAGCAAAATAAGAAGACACATAAGAATAAGTGGAGCCTGGATCGAATAGAACCGACGATTCTCTGTGACAGACCAAAATAGTACCTGTGATGACAGAATCGGAGGCGACAGCCTCAGTACGGGCAGGAAGAGCATAGTATCTAGCCTGGCCTCCCCCTCGAGGGCGACCTCTACCTCATCGACCTCCACCTCTAGCTGGCTGAGCAAGTGGGGTAGCAACTGGTGCAGTGATCATAGCCTGAGAACTCTGCGGGGCATGCTGTGGCTGAGAAGTCTGTGGAGGTGCAGCCCTCCCAAGTCTAGGGAAATCCCTCACCACATGGCGTGTGTCACTACACTCAAAACAAGCTCTAGGAGGACGTGGCGGCTGTGACTGGCTCGGGCCAGGTCTGCTGGACTGACCACTGGAAGCACCCTATACAGGAGGCACACTAGATACTGGAGGTGCATAATAAGGCTCCTAAGGTCTGGGAGGAGCTGGAATACCACTGGCTGCTGGAAGAGCTGAATGAACCCGGCGACCCATGCAACCTCTACCATGACGACCTGCAGCTGGGGCACGACCACCAGAATAATGGCCCGACTCTCGAGACCTCTTGGCCTCCCTCTCCTCTCTATCCCTAGAATGCATACCTTCAATCCTCCTAGCAATGCTCACCACCTGCTGATAAGAAATATCCATCTCCAACTCACGAGCCATGCTAGACCGGATGCAAGGAATAATCCCCTCAATAAACCGGCGAACCTTCTCGCGAACCGTAGAAACCAAGGCTGGTGCATGTCTTGTCAAGTCGGTGAAACGGACAGCATACTCCGAAACAGTCATAGTACCTTGGCGCAAACGCTCAAACTCTGCGCGCCAAGCGTCCCTGAGACTCTGGGGAACATACTCCCTTATGAACATATCTGAAAACTGAGCCTAAGTCAGGGAAGCTGCCTCATCCGGATTGTCTAACTCATAAGCACGCGACCACTGATAGGCGGCTCCTCGAAGCTGGAAGGTAGTAAAGGAAACCCCGCTCGATCCTGATATGCCCATAGTACGGAGGATACGGTAGCACTCCTCAAGAAATCCAAGGGCATCATCTGAGGCTAGCCTGCTAAATATAGGAGGCTGATACTTCTTGAACCTCTCAAGCCTCTTCTGCTCCTCCTCTGAAGCCACTGCCCTCTCCTCGGGCTGAGCTGGGGCTACCAGCTGTGCAGGGATAATCTCTGGAACATGATCAACATGCACTCGCTGCTCAGGAGTGCGGGCGGCGGGAGTCTGTGCTCCTCTCCCGGCCTGGGATGTAGCTGCAGCAAGGGGAAGAAACCCTGTCTAAGCTAGAGTGGTGTACATAGTCATAAACTGCGCCAGAGTCTCCTGGAGTGCTGGAGTAGTAGTAGCAAACGTATCAGGTGTTTGGACTCCGGCTGGAACTGCTGGTGGCACCTCGGTGGCAGCTCGCGCGGGTGCTCTGGCTTCACCACGAGCGCGTCCTCGGCCTCTACCCCAGCCCCAACCTCTGACGGCTCTAGTAGGGGGCGCGGGTGCCTGATCATCTCAAGTAGCACATGTCCTCACCATCTGTGAGAGAATAGAAGATAGAAGTTTAGAATTGTGATATCAAAATCTCGCACGACAAGGGAATTAAACGAAGTGAAACTTTCTTAACAGTTACATATCCTCTCGTAGATAAGTACAGACGTCTCCGAACCGATCCACGAGACTCTAATAAATCGGCTTGTGATTCATGACTCCTATGAACCTAGAGCTCTGATACCAACTTGTAACGACCCCGGTTCGCCCTCCGTCAACCATCGTGACGGCACCTAGTCCCTACGACTAGGTAAGCCTAATAATGCGGAAAAATAAACCAATTTGCGGAAGAAAATAGATAAAACATAAAATAGTGAATAAAATAGTGTTTAATAGTGCCGCTCGGCATACACAATATCAACTCTCAAACACTAATACTTTTCCCAAAACCCGGAATCTCATGAAATCACAAGATAAGGATACTACATAGTGCTCTAACTCCAGAATGTCTAAAACAAAGTAAATACAGAAGGGCTGTAACTACAAGAGAGAATGGAGAGAGACTCATTGGTCTGCGGAAGCGGCAGATATACCTCGAAGTCTCCGAAGGATCGCCTTGCCTCAAGGGTGATAGGACTGAGTCGAAGTACCTGGATCTGCACATGAAAAACATGTGCAGAAAGGGCATGAGTACACCACATCAGTACTTAGTAAGTGCCAAGCCTAACCTCGGTCGGGTAGTGACGAGGAAGGTCAGGGCCCTACTGAGACAAAATAAAAATATAAGGTATGATAGAATGAGATAAGCAGTACAGTTGAACGCTAACAATAAGAATTCAACGCAGGAAAATAAGGAACTCAATAACTGAAACAGAGGCAAAACAAACACAAGGAAATACCACTCTTCACAAGGATAATAACCGGGGATCTCTCAGTATCCCGAGGATCTCTTAGTACCCTCAATATATGCCAGGGATCTCTTAGTATCCCGAGGATCTCTCGGTATCCTCAATATGTGCCAGGGATCTCTTGGTATCCTCAATATACGTGCTAGAGATCTCTCGGTATCCCTCACCTGAGCTCAATCATGAATACGTGCAAGGATCTCCCGGGATACCGTCCCGTAGTCCCAAAGTAAAACACGCAGCAACAACACAAGGAATACTCAATTAAGCTCAATTTCGTATCAAGTAAATAGGTAACTCTAACCTAACATGCTTCACATAATGCAATTAAGGCAGTTTAAGCAAGTAAGAGATTAAGTTAATTAAACATGCTTTTCTAAGCTAACAACAGGCTTGAATTTGCAAGTAGTATAAAAAAGGAAAAAGGAACACAATTGAAATTACTTAGAGAAAACCGGATTTTTCAACAATTAGCTCCAGTACGCACTCGTCACCTCACGTACAAGGCATTTCAATTTTCAAATATACTAAATCCTAAGGGAATAGTACCCCACACAAGGTTAGACAAGCCACTTACCTCGAACCGGCTCAATAATCAACCCGAGACCACGTTCTTGCCACGAGTACTCGACTCCAAATGGCCCAAATCTATTCAATTCAATTGCATAATGTAAATAACACTTCAAGTAACTGATTCTACAAACATATTCTAAGCTAATACGCGAAATTAGGCAAAATGACCAAAACGCCCCTCGGGCCCACGTCTCAGACTCGGGTAAAATTTACATTTCCAAAAACCTCACACTCTCACGAGTTTAGTCATATCAAAAGTACCAATATAGGACCTCAAATGGTCCCTCAAATCATCACTCAAAGGTCTCTAATTAGTCAAGCCCTAACCCCAATTTACAACTAATTTTCCTTAATTTTTCATGCTTATAATGATAAAAATCACTCCAATAACGAGTTTAGGGACCAAAGACCTTACTCCAATGAATTCCTCTGAAAATCTCCCTTGAAAATGCTCCCCAAGGCTTCTCCCCGTTTGAAAAGAGGTGAAAAATGGCTAAAATTTGCGAAGGCAAGAACTTATATGTTTCTGCCCAGCTAAACCGCATCTGCGGCCCTGGGACCGCATATGCGGTCCCGCTTCTCCGAGGACATGGTCCCATCTGCGACATTCACTTAAAGCCTAGCTTCCGCACCTGCGATTAACCTTACGCAGATGCAGGGCCGTTTCTGCGCTGAAGCTCCCGCTTCTGCGGTCCCTGCTGGCTTCTCCTTTTTACGTTTCTGCGATGACAATGCCGCTTCTGCGGCTACGCACCTACGGGACCCCAACCGCAGGTGCGGCTATGACAGGAGACCAATAGCTGAAGCTGCTAAACAACTCCCAATTCTTTCGTCAACCTTCCGTAACCATCCCGAGAACCCCGGGACCTCAACCAAAAACACAAACAAGTCTATTACCACTGCCCCAATTTATACCAATCCTTAAAACACCTAAAACAACATCGAAACACCAATTTAACATCGGATTCAAGCCTAAGAATTTCAAAAACTTAAAATTTACGCTTTCGATCAAAAAGTCTATCAAACCTCGTTCGAGTGACCTGAAATTTTGCACACACGTCACATTCAGCCCTACGGAGCTACTCCAACATCCGGAATTCCATTACGACCTTCAGATCAAAATCTCACTATCGAACCGGAAACTTCAAAAATTCAACTTTCGGCATTTCAAGCCTAAATTAGCTACGGACCTCCAAAACACAATCCGAACACGCTCCTAAGCCCAAAATCACCCAACGGAGCTAACAGAATTATCGAAATTCCATTCTGATGCCGTCTTCACACTGTTCCGACTACGGTCATTTCCAAAACTTAAGCTCTCATTTAGGGACTAAGTATCCCAAAACTCTCCGAAATTCCAAATTATTCCTCCCCTCCACTCACAAAAGCATAAACAAATACGGGGAAAGCAATTAATAGGGGATCGGGGCGTAAATTCTAAAAATGACCGGCCGGGTGGTTACATTTTAAATGAAAGATTTATTTAAAATTAACTATCATAGCAGTCTTAGTGGATAACGTGCGATAATTTATATTTTAATTATGACATAAAATACTCTCAATTTAATGATTTATAATTAAGAAAAAAGTAATTTGAATAGTCAACGATTTATTAAGAAAATTTGAGGATTTACAAGGTTAGTTACATACAAGGGAAATTACCAGCTATGTCCATTTATAAGTAGCTCATTACAAAAATTGGCCAATTGAATAAATATTATTAATATTAGCCAAATTAGCCAATTAGCTATTTGTAGCAAAAAAATATCAAATTTTTGCTTTGTTTTTAGTAGGTGTTATTAGAATAGATTGGGCACAACTTAATGAGCTTGAATCTCAATTTTGGGATGATTTGGTGATGTTTTGAGGTGGTTTGAATTGAAAATTCGAAGTAAAAGCTGAACAAGAAAAAAAAATGATATGTGTATCACACTGTGTATCATTTGTGTATCACATATGTATCATATTTGTGTCAATTGTGTATCACATGTATATTTATGTATACTTGTGTGTGAGATACATGTTTGATACATGTGTCGCAGAAGACTTTTTTGAACTCGATTTAATTACGAATTTTGATGCAAAACCAGTTCAAATCACCTCCAATCTTCCTCAGATTTTTTATATTGACTTATCTATATATTTTCAATGAATTTCAACTATACCCATTGAAAAGTTCCTTTTTTGTTTAGATTTTTGGAATATTGTATAGATTTTTGTATTTCATCACCTTATTTGCTACCCCGTCCATGAAATTTCCTTTCCGTCTTGTATCTAATATTGCTAATCACGCCTAATAATATGGAAGGTGATTTTTGCATGTGATTTTTGAGAGAAATAACCCTATTATTTTGTTTTTCAATTTTTGTTGGCTAGTTTTGGTATAACGGTAAAAAGCCAGAGAAAGACGAAGCTGAAAATGTTACCAATTTATCTGGAAAACAAGATTTTGGTGAACTCAATTTTCCGGTAACATATTTTTTTGTGAAAAGAAACGTTTTCTAATTTACAGGAATTAATGAGAGCTGTTTTTATTTTCAGGAAAATGGCGAGGATAACCTCGAATGGGTAGCTCATTTTGTTGAAGATTCATTCACGTACACTGCCGGAAAATTACCGAACCAGGCGGAGATGAAAACTCCGGTCCAAGACAACAAGTCATGCTTTACCACTCCGGTTCAAACCGGGTCAAGAATCAAACATACAACCGCCGCCCGAGTTTGGTCACTTTCATTAACCGAGTCAACTTCTACTTCCTCTTCCTCTTCCTCCACTACGACGACGACGTTGTTCTCGTCATCACCTTGTTTCATTCATACAGCAAAGTCGATAGTACGGAAGCCGGCGGCGGCGAATAAGCGGAGGAAGAAGACGGCGGGAGCTGCGGTCCAGTGGCGGGCCGGTCCAATGGGTGCGAAAACTCTTTGCAATGCATGTGGGGTCCGGTTTAAATCTGGTCGGCTCTTGCCGGAGTACCGGCCGGCTTGCAGCCCGACGTTTTCGACCCAGCAACATTCCAACAATCACCGGAAAGTTTTAGAGATGCGGCAGAAGATGGAAGTAGAAGGCGGCGGTTTGGCTCTATCCGGTTCAGAATTTTTGAAGAATTAACTTTAATAGGGTAGGGTTTTTTTATTCGAATAAAAAGTAAGTTTATGGACTTTTTATTTTAGGGAAGAAGCAGTAGAAATTTTAGAGGGAAAAAAGAAGAACCGGAGTTGGTCCGGTTTATTGTACATTTCTGATAGGGCTGGGCATATATCGGGTATAATCGATAGCACGAACCGAAAAAAGCTTATTGGGGTATCGATATCGGGTTATTCGGTTAACGGTTCGATAATGGTTTAGTATTTTTTCACTATTGGATTATCGGTTCCGGCCTCGGTTTGCCCAATTTCTTAACGGATTAACTGACATCCCAATAAGATTTAATAAAATTATGATTTTACCCTTAAGTATATAAATACATCTAGGGCTTCATTCTCTCTTTTCCTCCCAATTTTTCCAGTCGCATTCAAGATTGAAATTTCATAGTTCACTCTTCAGACTCCGATTCACTTCTTCATTAGTTTTTCTTCAAAATTCAATTTTTTGGCAGACAACAAAAAAATTATTATTTATGTTCTTGTTAACTGCTATTTCCAGTGAATCGGAGATGGAATGTTTGTGGAGTTGGAGTATCAATTTTGGAGATTGCACAGGTCTTGAATTTGTCAAAATGAAGCATGCTTCAAATATTTGTTGTGGCCAGAACGCAGAAATGGGTAGATAATATGTGAATTCTTCTCTTTTTTGCTTAACTCCAGTGAAATGTCTTCTCTTTTTTGCTTATCTCCAATGAATTGTCTTCTCTTTTTTGCTTAACTCTGGATTGAGTTATATCTTATCGGGTAAACCGATAACCGAACCGATAATGATCGATAACCGATATCTTATCGGTTCGGCTATTGGTTTATTATATTTGTAAACCGATAACCGATATGCTAAACCGATAATATTCAACCGAATGTCACGATCCGGATTTCCACCCTCGGGAGTCGCGATGGCGCCTACTCGTAGAAGCTAAGCAAGCCACAAACTTAGAAATCTTTGACTCTTTTATTTTAATCTTTTTACAACCTATATCAACAAGTGATAAACATGAAAATATTAGCGGAATATGAGATTAAGCGGAAGACTTGGATAAATATAAGACCAAAATAATAAGAAAACCGACATATGTCTCTACCCAGAAACCGGTGTCACAATATCCACGGACTAACTATGATTACTACATATAAATATTTGAAAGAAAGATCACTGTCTGTTTCGGATACAAATGATAACAGAACAAAACAACTGATAAAAGAGATGCCGGGCCTGCGAACGCCTGCAGGACTACCTCGGAATCCCGGTGGACTGAAGGCAGGCTCCCCTACTGCTGTTGACCAAATGCTGCTCCGGTATCTGCACATAAGTGCAGAGTGTAGCATCAGCACAACTGACCCCATGTGCTGGTAAGTGTCTGGCCTAACCCCGGCGAGGTAGTGATGAGGCTAGGACCAGACTCCAGATGAACCTGTGCAGTTATATAATATACAGCGAAAAAATAAACAGGAAATAAGCAGTTTAAAAGGGAGGGGGAACATGATTCGGAGAACATATTAACCTAGCAGGAACTAAATAGAAATCTGAAAGGACAGTACAATATCTACAACAGTACAATAATATTGTTGTTGCGGCGCGCAACCCGATCCCTTATCTTTAAACACTATTGCGGCGTGCAACCCGATCCATATATATATATAATTGTTGCGGCGTGCAACCCCATCCAATATAATATATAACTGTTGCGGCGTGCAATCCGGTCCAATATAATATTTGTTGCGGCATGCAACCCGATCCATCATATCATTGTTGCGGCGTGCAACCCGATCCATATAATATAATATTGTGGCGTGCAACCCGTTCCACATATGCAGTCAACAATTATCATAATAATCGTCCCGGCAAGGGATCAACAATAAGCTACACTATCCCGGCAAGGGAACTCAACAGTACAAGTATATACGTCCCGACAAGGGAGAAACAGCTATAACCAATCTTAACTCAACTCCTACTCGTCTCAGTTATCACCATTACTCAATCATAAGTAAATTCCACGAAAATAAACTAAGTCTTTGCTCAATATCAATGATTTACCTACTTTTGCAACCATATTATCATTCAAGAATACAACAAGCATCAATTAAAGACTCACGGTCATGCTCGACACCAACGTATAAATACTCGTCACCATGCCTATACGTCGTACTCAACAAGTAGCAAATAGCAAATAGGACTCAACTCCTAATCCCTCAAGCTAAGGTTAGACCGAACACTTACCTCGATGCCTCGAACACAACTCAAGTTTCAATTATAGCTTTACCCCCTTGATTCCACCGCCAATTCGCTCGTATCTAGCTACAAGCTACTTAATTACATCAATAAACGCTAAATGAATCAATTTCAATGCATGAAAATGAGTTTTCCAATGTTTTACCCAAAAAGTCAAAATCGCCCCTGGGCCCACGTGGCCAAAACCCGATGTTCGAACCAAAACCCGATTAACCATTCCCCCACGAACCCAAATATATAATTATTTTTGAAATCAGACCTCAAATCGAGGTCCAAATCCCCAATTTTTTAAAAACCTAGGTTCTACCCAAAACACCCAATTTCCCCCATGAAAATCATTGATTTGAAGTTGAAATCATGTTAAAAGATGTTAATGATTGAAGAAAACTAGTTGGAAACGACTTACAATTAGGGTTGGCAAAATGGTTCAAAGAAAACAGTTAACCACCCATATTATCCACTAAAAAATGGGTTGGATAATGAACTTTTTAAAAACGGGTCAAATATGGATAAGAAGCATATTATCTATTAGAAAAAGGATAACCAGTGAGTAACCAATGGATAACCAATGGGTCTAACTTTTACATTTGTAAAGCCTCAAATTGGGGGTTCCTCAAGTTAGGGGGACTAAGAATTCTCCCAAAAGTGATCATATACAAGAAGTCATGGATAATATGGGTAACCCATATTATCCGCCGGTTAACCCGTTTTATATCCGTATCAAATATGGGTCGGGTCGGATAATAGATTCGTTTTTTCATTACCCGTTTTCGACCCGAACCATATCCGACCCGACCCGCCCGTTTGCCACTCCTACTTACAATTGATTTAGAGAAGAAAGGTTGTTTGAAAAATCGCCTCTTATGTTTTTTTGGATTTTAAAAATGAAAAATAACTGAAAATCCCGTCTAAATATACTGCCCTCAGATGCCCTGTGCGGACCACACAAAATCAACTGCGGCCGCACAGGCCTCCCAGTGTTCTGAAGTGATAGGTCTTAGTATTTTGGACATAACTTTCTTTACAGATGTCCAAATTGTGGTTTCTTTACCTTTCTGGAAACTAGACATGAAGGGCTACAACTTTCATTTTTGAATCATCTCAAAATTCCTTGTAGATCAAAAGATAGACTTCCGAAGTCGGACCAGTGGAATGTTCTTCACAGGCCCCTCCGCGGCAGCAGTCCATATCGTGCGGACCGCACTGGCCTTTTCAGAGACCTTCCACTTCCCTGAGCTTGCAACAGCTCTGATTTTAAGCCTAAAACATCCCAGAACCTACCCGAAACTCACCCGAGCCCTCGGAACTCCAAATCAAGTGCACACAAAACCTCAAAAACATCCTACGGACTTATTCGTGTAATCAAATCATCAAATTAACATCATGAACATCAAATTAAACTTCAAGATCAATGAAATTCCTCAAATTTCATAAAACATTTTCAGAAAACAATTTTTCTTTAAAAATTCATTTCTCGGGCTTGGGACCTTGGAATTCGATTCCGGACATACGACCCAAGTCCCATATTTTTCTACGGACCCTCCGGGACCGTCGAATCATGGGTCCGGGTCAGTTTACCCAAAACGTTGACCGAAGTCAAATTAACTCATTTTGTAACCAAATTTTACCATTTTTCACAGATTATCATATTTAAGCTTTCCGGCTACGCGCTCGGACTGTGCACGCAAATTGAGGTGATGATAAATGAGGTTTTCAAGGCCTCGAAAACACAGAATTCAATTTGAAGCAAGTGATAACCTTTTGGGTCATCACATTCTCCACCTCTAAAACAACCGTTCGTCCTCGAACGGGCATAAGAAGGAAGTACCTGAGTCGGGGAAATGATGGGGATAACGGCTCCACATATCGGACTCGGACTCCCAGGTCGATGCCTCAGGAGGCTGACCTCTCCACTGAACACGAACAGAAGGAAAACTCTTCGATCTCAACTGACGAACTTGCCGGTCTAGGATAGCTACCGGCTCCTCCTCATAGGACAAGTCCTAATCCAACTAGACAGTGCTGAAATCTAACACGTGGGATGGAACGCCGTGATACTTCCGAAGCATGGACACATGAAACACTGGATGCACGGCTGATAAGCTCGGTAGCAACGCAAGTCTATAAGCCACCTCTCCCACTCGATCAAGAATCTCAAACGGACCAATGAACCTGGGGCTAAGCTTGACCTTCTTCCCAAATCTCATCACGCCCTTCATAGGCGACACTCGAAGCAATACCTGCTCACCGACCATAAAGGCCACATCTCGAACTGTAACGACCCGACCCGTCGTTACGGGAGTTACCGCCCTGTTTTCCCCGTTTTATGCTTCTATATGTTTCATTATATGTGTTTGGAAAATTTGAAGTAATTCGGATAGAGTTCGGTTGGAAATGAGACAATAAGCCTCTTTGTGAGAAGGCTAGTTTGGAAAAGTCAACCGAATGTTTACTTATGAGTTAGAAGGCTCGGAATGGATTTCCGATGATTTGACTAGTTTCGGGGGATGATTTGTGACTTAGGAGCGCAATCGGAATTGAATTTGGAGGTCCGGTGTAGAATTAGGCTTGAATTGGCTAAGGTTGGATTTTGGCGAATTCCGGATGGGAGGTGAGATTTTGATCGAGGGTCGGAATGGAATTCCGAGAGCTGCAGTAGCTCCATTAGGTGATTTTGGATATGCGTGCAAAGTTTCAGATCATTCAGAGGTGTTTAGGTTGGGTTTTAGATCAAA